AGTATGGAGTCTGCTTCAAGAGAGAGAGAGAGAGAGACCTCTGCCCCTCCCCCCACTCACGCTTTTTCTCTCTCAGAGAGAGAGAGAGAGAGATCTTAAAAAAAAATCATATGAATTAAATATAGCCCTGAGAGAGAGAGAGAGAGAGAATTACGTAAGAAGAAACAATGCATTTAATTCTCACTTAGAGAGAGAGAGAGAGAGACCTCTCTTGAATTATTTATTGAATTTTACAAGCCAGCAGAGAGAGAGAGAGAGAGAACACTGAGCAAATAATAATTGTTTCAGGAATTCAAGGAGAGAGAGAGAGAGAGAGATAGTCAATAATATCATTCATCATTCGGTTTAAGGTAAAGAGAGAGAGAGAGAGAGATCTAAAATGCGTATCTTTAATGCATCTTTTCCTTTACAGAGAGAGAGAGAGAGAGAAATCAATTTCAATATCCTATCCTGACTGAAAGGGAGTAGAGAGAGAGAGAGAGAGATAAAAAGAAGTTTTCTCAACATGGTAAAGAATATCTATCTTCAGCTAACCACCAACGTCATACTTTGTGGCAAAAGACTTGAGGCATTCATATAGAGAGAGAGAGAGAGAGAGGAAGCTGATTACCCTCCTATTTAATATTTTTAGAAGAGAGAGAGAGAGAGAGAGAAATTATTATACTAGGTGCACCTTCTGGCAAGAAAAAGAGAGAGAGAGAGAGAGAGAAAATAATATATTGTAAATATAAAAATAACTGAAAGAAAGAGAGAGAGAGAGAGAGAAACTAAAAACAAAGTGGTTGGATATCAAAAATCTATTAGAGAGAGAGAGAGAGAGAACAACAAGTTAGTAAATATATTGAAACAGAAAAAAATAGAGAGAGAGAGAGAGAGATAAAAATGTAAGATGCACAGAAATAACTTTAATATAAAGAGAGAGAGAGAGAGAGAGCTAATAATAAAAACAGTATACTGTGAGACACAAAACATTTTGAATAGAAAAGAGTATTATACACCTCGGTTGAGGGAAGATAATTGGATATTGTAAAGACAGCAATTCTTTACACATAGGTTTAATGCCATTCCAATAAAAATTCCAGTAACATTTTTTTGGTGAAGAGATTGAAACTGAATCAGAATGTCATCTGGAAGAATACATAATTACATCTAGTCCAGAAATTAGAAAAAGAAGAAGAAAGGGCCTGAGTTTGCCAGATTTTTAAAAAAGATTTTATTTATTTATTTGAGAGAGAGTATGAGCAGGGGGAGGAGGTGGTGGAAGGGCAAAGGGAGAAGCAGACTCCCATTGGGCGGGAAGTCCGACATGGGGTCTGATCCCAGGACCCTGGGATCATGACCTGAGCCGAAGGCAGACGCTTAACCGACTGAGCCAGGTACCCCTACTTTGCCAGATATTGTAACTTAGTATAAAATGAAGGTGATCAGAAGAGTATAATAAGAACTAGAAGGTAAATAGTACAGAAAAGATGATCCTTTAAACATATCTTAATATGGATAAAACAAATTTGTATATATGCAGATAGCATGATGTATTAAGGAGGAAATGTTAATAAATATTAATAAAGGAAATGTTAATAAATAAATGTTTCTTTAAAGTAATAGGTGATGGGAATTAAGGAGGGCATGTGAAGTAATGAGCACCGGGTGTTATACGCTATTGCTGAATTACTGAATTCTATATCTGACACTATATGTTAACTAATTGCATTTAAATAAAATAAGTAAAAATAAATAAAATAAAAAATAAAGTAATATATATTTGAAGAAAGATACCTCTTCATACCACAATAAATTCCAGAGAGATTAAAGTGTTGGATCTAAAATTTAATCATAGAAACAATGTTAAATACCATGGTCTCTCAGAGAGAGAGAGAGAGAGAGAGTGCTTGGGTAAGGTCACCATGAGTATAAGTTAGAGAAGTAAACTATTCCAAGGATTGAATCCTGGAAACCCCAGTATGTAGATTTCAGGTGCAGAGAGAGAGAGAGAGAGAAAGACAGAAGGTGTAGTCACCTGGTTTAGAAATCCCTAGAGAGAGAGAGAGAGAGACGCAAAGTGAACAAAAACTTAAAAGAAGAATGGATGAAGAGAGAGAGAGAGAGAGACTGATCGATCAAGAAAGATGAAGGCTGATAGCTGAATAGAGAGAGAGAGAGAGAGAATAGTGGTAGAGGTAAAAGTCTGATTTTAGTAATTCAAGAGAGAGAGAGAGAGAGAAACTAGAGAGAGTATAAACAACTCTTCACTGTATATAAGAGAGAGAGAGAGAGAGAAGAAGTCAAGAGGGAAAGTGAAGTCAAGAGACTTTGTAGAGAGAGAGAGAGAGAGATATTATTTTATTTTATTTTTTAAAAGATTCATCCATTAGAGAGAGAGAGAGAGAGATCAATTGGTTAAATGTCTGACTCTTGATTTTGGCTCAGGTAATGATTTCAGGTCCTGGGATCAAGCCCTGAGTGGGGCTCCATGCTCACTGTGAGAGAGAGAGAGAGAGAGACTCTCTCCTTCTCCCTCTGCCCCTCCCCTTGCACACAAGAGAGAGAGAGAGAGAGAATAAATTAAACCTTAAAAAAAAATCATCCATTTATTTAGAGAGAGAGAGAGAGAGATGCACACACATGCACACGGGGGACCCATGAGATCATAAGAGAGAGAGAGAGAGAGAGTCCATCACTCAACCAACTGAACCACCCAGGTGCCCCAGAGAGAGAGAGAGAGAGAGTTTTTATTTTTACTATTTTTTTTTATTGTAACTATTAGAGAGAGAGAGAGAGAGAAAGAAACCAAAAAGTGGTGCTGCAAGAGAGAGGGGAAATAGGGATGGGCAGAATGATGTCCTTGAGCAGGAAAAAGGGCTACTTGTCTTTTCTAGAAACAAGAAAATTTCATCTAAAATGATGGAAGAGTCAGAGTAACTGCACAGAGAAGAGAGAGAGAGAGAGAGAGCGGTAATGGAAGATCCTATTAGTTCTTTTCCAACTAAGAGAGAGAGAGAGAGAGAATAAAAGCATGACCATCAATTGAGATTAAGTCTGGAAAGAGAGAGAGAGAGAGAGATGAGGCCTTGAAGAGGAAGGGGAAGGTATGAAATAATAGAGAGAGAGAGAGAGAGAGGAAATGGACTGAAGTAAAGTGATATGATTGCAGAGCAGAGAGAGAGAGAGAGAGAAAGTGAGTGATAATGAATTTATGGTGAGACTAGAAAACATAGTTGTTTTTCAACAGCCACATTCAGCTTAGACTGCATAGGTATGGAGCAGTAAGAGAGAGAGAGAGAGAGAATTAACTGAGTGAAAACAAAGGAGTAGCAAGAGAAATAGAGAGAGAGAGAGAGAGATACTAATGAAGGGTCGTGAATATTAAGCTGGTTGAGAAGAGAGAGAGAGAGAGAGACTAAGGAACAATGAAAAGGTGTGAGCATCCATGGTGAGACTAAAAAGGTTGGAGTTGATGTATCAAGAAGAAGTGAATTGTAAAGAAAAGAGAAGAGAGAGAGAGAGAGAGATTGACCTTGAGACTGTGTTTCTCGTAATGACAAGTTCAGAGAGAGAGAGAGAGAGAGAGGAAAAGAAGTAGAGTTAAGGGTATGGAAGAGTTAAGAGAGAGAGAGAGAGAGACACCAAGAATTATGATAGGAGTAGTGCTAGAGAGAATAGAGAGAGAGAGAGAGAGAAATCTTCAAGGAATGAGGTGAGTGACCTGAGGATTAGAGAGAGAGAGAGAGAGAGAGGTGTAGTGGGCAAATAGATGGGGGCATGAGATTCAAAGCCACGTGTTGTTATGGGGGAGAAAGGAGGATGATAGGAAAGGGGCAGTGAGGAGAGAGAGAGAGAGAGAGAGAACTCAGGGAAATGAAGAGTGTGAGGCAAGAGCTACCAAGAGAGAGAGAGAGAGAGAAGCAGTATGTTGGGGACAGCAAAACAAAGAGAACATTAAACAAAGAGGGAGAATATGTCGGGGGTTTTGCTGAGTTTCTACCTTGACTTCCAGAGAGAGAGAGAGAGAGAGATCAGTAGATGAGGAGAGGTGGGAAATGGGTTTAGCAAAGAGAGAGAGAGAGAGAGAGTGAGGATTAGAGTCTGGGGAACTCTATGTGGTGACGAGAGAGAGAGAGAGAGAGAGAGAGTCCCAATTGTTCCAAGGTGGATAACTGGTGGAAGAGAGAGAGAGAGAGAGAATACAACAACAACAACAACAACAAGAGTAGCTGGAATAGAGAGAGAGAGAGAGAGATATGGGTTAAATTAAGTGGTTAAATTAAATCTTTAGTCTTTGGTTAGAGATCATAACCTGAGCAGAAACCAAGAGTCCATCGCTCAACCAACTAGAGAGAGAGAGAGAGAGAATTTTTTTGTTTTTTGTTTTTATTTTTACTATTATTTAGAGAGAGAGAGAGAGAGACCAAAAAATGATGCTTCAAGAGAGAGGGGGAAATAGGAGAGAGAGAGAGAGAGAGAAGACTAAAGATTTCAAAGAACATCCAGCAACATAACAAGAGAGAGAGAGAGAGAGATAAAAAGCAGAACATAAAATGGCACCTATGGTATTATAGAGAGAGAGAGAGAGAGAACATGCATAAAATTCACAGAAAATACCAAAAATATTAAGAGAGAGAGAGAGAGAGAAGATGACTTTTATCTTTTTTTAATATTTTTTTATAATAGAGAGAGAGAGAGAGAGAATTTTTGTATGTAATCAGAAAAAAGGCCCTCATATGATTTTTAAATAAATAGTAGTGTCCTCAGGTGTTCTCCTAAAATGCTGTTAATATTTTAGAGAGAGAGAGAGAGAGAGGTTTTTGCAATGATCAATTTTTAATTACTTTAAAAAAGAGAGAGAGAGAGAGAGATCTTTTTTCCCACGTTTTATTTCACACACACACACACAGAGAGAGAGAGAGAGAGAAGTTCCCTGCAGTTTAGCTCGCTTGCCTCTGCACATGAGAGAGAGAGAGAGAGAGAGATAAATGATCACATGGGCCTTAGTCAAGAAAGACGTAGAGAGAGAGAGAGAGAGAGAGGTTTCAGGATCACACAGGCTACTGTGTCCATTACACTGACATGGAACGCAGGTGCCCAGAGTTGGCCTAGGAGTGCGGCTACCTGGCTCAAGAGAGAGAGAGAGAGAGACTGGCATGCATGTCTAAAAGGAAAGGAAAGCAATTAGGACAGTCAAGTTATAAATCTTGGTTTAGCAATACTTGGGTTCCTCAGGGGTGAAAAAGAGAGAGAGAGAGAGAGACTGCATTAAAGGTAACATCACTTATAAACACAAGGGCAGAGAGAGAGAGAGAGAGAGTATTTCTGTGTGGTCCTTAACGTATACAGGAAGCATAGAGAGAGAGAGAGAGAGACAAAGGAGGGCCGTCATTTGCATACACCACTCAATCTAGAGAGAGAGAGAGAGAGATTTTTAATCTTTTTCTTGAGAAAGAGGCTTATTTTTAAGAGAGAGAGAGAGAGAGACTAAAGAGAGAATTCCAATGTCCTTGACAACCTAAAGTCTGCTTCTGCTATGCTTGATGGATAACTAGCTAATGTCCAATGAGACTCAGAGAAAGAGAGAGAGAGAGAGAGAGTGTCGCAGTTGCATTTTTTTATATCGATATAATTTAAGAGAGAGAGAGAGAGAGAATTCAAAATTCTCATGTCTTGGGAATATTAGACCACCAGAGAGAGAGAGAGAGAGATGATCTATTTTTTTCATTTTGCAATAAAAATCTGAGAAGAGAGAGAGAGAGAGAGACAAAGCTGACATATGCAGAATCAAGACATCCATCTTCAGAGAGAGAGAGAGAGAGAATGTATCAAAGAAACATCTCTGGCTTTTGAGAAGGAAAGAGAGAGAGAGAGAGAGATAATGTGAAAGGTCTTGGGTTCCAGGCTCAGTCCTCTTGGTATGCAAAGCTACCGCATTTATCAGACGTTGTTTGATTTATGAGTGAGAGGTAAGAGAGAGAGAGAGAGAGATGAAGATTACAAAGGGACCGTTTTACCACCTTAGCTAAGAGAGAGAGAGAGAGAGAGGATATCTTGCTCCTGTTGATGAAAGAATGATTGCCGAATAAGCAGGAAAAAAACATATTCATTAAGAACTTCCCAGTGGGGGCACCTGGGTGAGAGAGAGAGAGAGAGAGATGCCTTCAGCTTGGGTCATAATCCCAGGGTCCTGGCAAGAGAGAGAGAGAGAGAGACCTGGCTCAGCGGGGCACCTGCTTCTCCCTCTCCCTCAGAGAGAGAGAGAGAGAGAGCTCTCTCTCTGTATCTCTCTGTCTCAAGTGAATGAAAGAGAGAGAGAGAGAGAGAAAATTTTAAAAAAAAGAACTTCCCAATACCTCTAAGTAGAGAGAGAGAGAGAGAGAGCCATCCAGAGTGGTATATACAAAAAGGTTCCTTGGAGAAAGAAAAAGATCGATAGTCAACACTCCCTCGCTTATTTTGATTTGGATACTGCAAAAGCACCTCAATTAAGCATTCAGTTAAGAGTCTCTCTGCTTTTATCACAGCCTATGAGATATTTTAATGAGATTAAATAATGTCCCAGCTTTGAGCAAGCTGATAAAAAAAAGAGAGAGAGAGAGAGAGAATATTTTGAGTCTCATTTATTTTATAGTGGACTTAATCATATATTTTAATAAGTTTATTCATATTATTTAAAATCAAGGTTCATATTGCTATTGTTACCAAATAAGGCCTAGAAATTATGGCTGAGGAATCCATTTAAGAAACTAAAGAAACCATTCAAAGTGTATTTAAAAATATTTCACAGTATGAGTTGCTCCAGTTCTTTAAGAGAGAGAGAGAGAGAGAAAACTGGATTTTCTTTACATGGATTTCATCCTTGGATAGAGAGAGAGAGAGAGAGATTTTTTAAGATTTTATTTATTTATTCATGAGAGACAAAGAGAGAGAGAGAGAGAGAGAGAGGCAGAGGGAGAAGCAGGCTCCCAAGGAGCAGGGAGCCCGATGCAGGACTTGATCCCAGGACCCTGGGATCATGACCTGAGCCGAAGGCAGACGCTTAACCATCTGAACCACCCAGGCGCCCTACATAATTATTATTTTACTGGTGTATTTGCTTGGGGTGTGTGTGTGTGTGTGTGTGTGTGTAGGTGTGTGTAGGTGTGTGTGTGTCTCTATGTGTCTGTGTCTGTGTGTGTGAATGTGAAAATCACACAAATAGACAGTTTTTCTAGCTCCATTTTATACCTCAAACAGAAGTTCAAGACAAGTCTCAGAGGAAGAATAAAGTTCAGAAACAGGACTTTTCATTGAGGAATTACATGAAATTCAGTGTTATATACTGAAACCTGAAGGTGAGCAGGGCAGGTGAAGTTTACTGTAACACACACCCAATTACCCATATTACTATGACTCTTCCCAGGAAAGAGAGCAGGACGAAGCCGAAAAGCACCTGTAATGGGAGTCTGAGCCTGAGCTCCCACTGGAGATCTGCGTTGAACCTTTTAGGCCTATCTTTGCGGTTCCCAACCCTGGCTGCACATAGAATCATCTGAGGGGTTTTATATACTGATGCCTGGTTCCACCTCCAGAAATTCTTTTTTTTTAACTTTTAAATTTTTAAAAAAATATTTTATTTATTTAGTTGAGGGAGAGAGAGAGGGGGGAGGGGCAGAGGGAGAGGGAGAGGGAGAGAGAATCTCAGGCAGACTCCCCAACCAGCGAGGAGCCTCATGTGGGGCTCAATCTCATGACCCTGAGATCATGACCTGAGCCAAAGCCAAAAGTTGGATGCTCAACCGACTGAGCCACCCAGGCACCCCCACCTCTAGAAATTCTTATTTAATTGGCGGAGATTAGGGCCAGGGTTTTTTAAAAACTCCTAGATGGGTCTAAGAAGCAGACAGAATTGAGAGTCGCTGGCATGCTCCTCACTCTCTGCTGGTAATGTGTGGCTTTTAAAGGGCATACAGACTCCAATACTGTGGTGCAAATGAATATGGAAGCCTTGATCTTACAAGTTGGTTTTCTCTAAGGCATACAGGCAAGTTGCGTGGCATAATTAAGACGTGGTTTCCCCACCCCACAAATGAGCAGGTGTATTAACTCAGATGATTTCCGAATCTTTTGTTCTAACACTCTAGATTAAATTTTATGTCCTGCTAGATCAAATTTCTAAGAGTTAGCAAAGCAAGAGACAATGCAAGAGTTAGCATCTTAAAACACTCTTTACAGGAACTGGATGTATTTATTTCATCTTAATCCCTTCCTTTCTTGGATCCTTTTTGTATTTATTCTTTCCACTTTTTTGGTATTTTTGCAAGTTTTTCAATGTCAGATGTTCTCAGTGAACTGGGGCAACATTTATGAGAATGATTATACTTGAGTTGGAATAAAAAGAAGAAAGATAACAGCTAGTTTTTCAAGTCCTGTCTACAATCCTTTCTGAGACAAAATGGAGAATTTAAAAAAAGCAAATAAACACTGTCCCTTTTTTTTCTAACTCAAACTTTTCCAAAGTTCTCTTTCCTTGTGCTAAAGTTATTCATAGCACAATTGTCTTCTGCAGTCCTTCTATCTTTATTTTCATAATATGGCAGCTCATCAAAATGTTCGAATTGCATAAAAACTTGGGAGGATGGAGACAAAGAGAATAGAGAATGCACAGGTCCAGGTGCAGAGTTACACAACATTTCCCACCTCTCTCCTCAGACTTTAACAAGAACACTTGTGCTTGTTGCCAATGGAAACCCTATCTTATATCTTCACGCGTGTTTTGCAACCAGGCAATCCTCAGTTTCATTCTTGTTCACTGCTCACTAACATAATTTTACGCAGGTGTTCAACACTGCGGGCTGCAGTTTCCTCACCTGGAACATAAGGATCTTGTAGAACATCAGAATTGAGTATGTAAGTGCATCTAGGTTTTTTGAAACAGACTTAATTGGGCTCGGATTGCAGTTTTGCTGTTTTCTAGCTGTGTGGTCGTGGGCAGGTTTTGTAACCTGCCTGGGCTTCCATTTCCTCATCCATAACATGGGGGTCATAATACATACTCAGTGTTGATGTAGGTATGTTAGGAAATGTTGTGCAGGATACAGTAGGCATTCAGTAAACGGTAAGTTGTTTTTTTCTTTTATAAGGTTGTTGTGAGGATTAAAGAAGATGATGTATGTTTAGTGCTTCACATATAATAAATCAACATAGATGCCTCTATTCCAGATAATTTTTTAAATATAGTCATTGAAGACAGACTAAAAATAAAAACAACAGTAATTGTTCTACATTGCATTGGGTAACAGAATATCCATGTCTGCCTACTTACCCATACCATGTGCCTCAATATTTTTGTGCACAGGAAAACAGTCTTTGGATCTTCCACATATAACAAAAGTGGTAAAGGGTATCCCAAGAGATGTGTGTATGGAAGAAGAAAAGTCTATTTTCATGATATTGACTTTTGAGTTTTATGAGTTGATAATAGGTATACATTTTGGGGAGATGTAAAAAATTATTTTTAGTAGCCATAAGTAACAGCTTCTGAATGGTGACCCAGTAGACAGCAGCCATTCAACCATGAGCCCCCTATTCTAACATGAGGGTGAGGAGACAGAGGCTGAACTGTGCAACATATGATCTAGAAATCATCTGCAACTCTTTAATCACCATGATCTTATTGCAGAGAACCATATACTCAGTGCTGACTATTTCCATTTCTACATACAAACTAACCTGAGTTTAGGTCAGTTTAGGTCAGTCAGGCAATCATGTGAACTCAGACAATGGTGAGAAACTCAATGGCTTCCACACCAACAAATGTGGTAGGGAAAACGAGTCCTTTATTTGACTTCTAAAGGTAATCTCATCTTTACATCAAATCATAGATTGTAATAAGTGGGCATTTCTAGAACTAATATTCTCAATGAATAGGGCCGAAGCATTATAAGATGACAGGTAACAAGCAAAGGCTAAGTGTCTTCACAGTTGGCTATATTTTCAGCAGTAACTAACACTTAATTCTGTTTATTTGCAACCACATTTTGGGTAAAAACAGGAAATGAAGAGCTTGTAAATGCAAATGTCTCTAGAATACCATACATTTGGCAAAAGTATTGTAAAGGAATTGCTTTGTGTATTCATGACCCAAAGCATATGTTACTGGAATGGGAGGTATTATTTCAAAACTGTCCTTAGCTCTTGCTTTGATGATTAGATTTTATGCTTGGGCAATTACACTTCAGAATCAAGATGAATTATAAATAAGATGTATAATGGATTAGAGGCAATGGGATGTGGAGAACACCTCAGGCACCTTATTATGAGAGATAGGCCTTTATCCCCATAATCTCAACACTAGGATATTACTGTAATTATTGTCTGTAAATAGGAGCTTAAGTGAAATTCACAGAACATAGGCGAAGCCACCAATGCAGATGCTGGTTTGTATGTGTTCCTAGTTTTCTTAATCTTCTTCATTTATCAGTTTCTTTATTTGTGCTAATATATATTTTCACATAATGACGGAAAATTACTAAGATTAATGGAAAAGCATGTTTTAGAATGTTATTTAAAAAGCCTACCAATCACAGCAATAAGAGCTTTTAACATTTAAAATCTGGAATGGAAGGTAGACCACATTAAAATAATTTGCTCCTCTACTCACATTTTTATTTGTAAGTTAACAGTATTCTTTTAAATACATGCAGAAAAAAATATAGCCATGGTAGCTTTCTCTTTAAGACGGCTAAAGGTCAATCTCGACTACTTACATAATACCTTTTATAGCAAAATAATATTGCAGAGCCAGAGAATTTTAGAACTTCAAAACCCAACCTGTTATTTTATAGATTGGATAACTATATAGCAACTAAGGCCTATAACAATTAAAGAATTGACCAAGGTCACACAGTAAACCAACAGTATAGCCAAATGCTTCTTGGGATGAAATTCTTGTGTAGAAAAATCTCAAGTTCTTTCTGTCTTCCGTCTTTAAGTCTTTTATGCTCATTGGAAAGGTAGGATGTTTTATATGCGCCACGTTCACTGTCTCATTGTTCACATCTACACTGTGTGCATATGTGTATTTTGGTTGGTTGTGCATATAAATTCAATAAATACACTTACTAGTATGTGTACAAGTGCATATATGTATAGGTAGGAGTTATGACTTCATAACGAGGTGGGTTATTTGACTATTTATTAGATCAAAATAGACACATTCATATGAATATTGCCTTTCAGAGCAGCCACAAAGTTATAAAATTATTCCGAGGGTGTTTTACAGATATTTGCATTTATTCTTATGAACTTGTTCTCTGAACAGCATGGATTATATATAATGGTAACTAAGTTGAATAGCATTTCAGATCATAATAGGGCTTTCACATACATATTTTCATTTAAACCAATCCTCATGATGACTCTATAGGTAAAAATCCTAAGGGCCAGCAACAAACAGAGTGAATGCCCTGCCCGAGTGGTGGAGCTAGGGAGGAATCGCTGAAACCAAACTCCTTTTCTTTTCATCATAATATGCTACATTTCAAGATATTTATATTCATTATTTTTAAGTTACTTTAGTTTTGAGCTGGTGCCACCATCTGCCTTATGAGCCATACTTACCAAAACTCCTCAAATCCTATTTACAAAAGATGCATACTGTTTTCTATAAAGAAATCAATGCATGGATATATAACTAATTATTCTGTAATAACACTATTAACATCAACCAACGTTGACTACTGCCAGGCACCATAATAGTGCTTTAGGGTCATAGGTCATTTTGTCTTCATATGATTCATCAGCTGTAGGTAAGAGAGGTATTAAGAATATCTAACCAGCTATGCAATGGGCCCCAACCAATCTGCCTACCAGGAAGGCATCTACACTGCAGGACTGGAGCAGATCCTGGACGCCCCCTCCTACACCTTTGGTTGTTGCACTGTGGGGAGGACTATGGTCTGCAGGAGAGGAGCAAGTGTGGTGGCAGTAAGGGGCTTGGAAGTTTAGTAAATGGTGCAAGGTCTCAGTCCTGGTACGTGGTGAAGTCGAGATTCAAACCAGTCCAGTTTCCCATCCATCCCACTTTCCCCTATATTATACTCTTCCTATTGATATTTAATATTCACAAAAATTAAATAGGCTTCCAGAGGATAGAGATCTAGAAAATATACCAGTTCTAAAGATAATCAAAGGAAAATCCCAGAGAGCAAAATAAGCAATTTTTAAAAATATTAACGACTGGATGATAGTGGCATTGTGGGAAAAATATATGTCCTTTTGGGAAGCTTACACTGAAGGAAACAGTCTGCTATTCAGTGCCTACGTTTTGTCATGTTCCACAAAAAAACAATCTTTCAAAACCCAATATAATCCTATCTCATAATCATTGCAGCTTAAATGTTTTAGCCATTCAGAAGAGGTGTCGAGAAAATAGCTCAGATATAATAAAGGTGCCTTATGAAAACATTCTTGTTTCCTGACCGCTCTGTATTTTGACAAATCTTTTAATTTTCATCAAATATTTCCCTTCAGATGTGATTCCTACTTCTAGGTCACAGTAACACCATCCTCCTCTTACTGTGTCTCATGATGTGAGTGGAGGGTTAAAAACAAAAAATAGGTTAAGGATATGCATGAACAAGGAAAACTGATTGCAGCCAAGATAGTTCTGGAAGGATTTCGATTTGGCTGGTTAGGTGAGTTGAGCTTATGCAGGTTAGCAGTAGCCCCTTACCTCACAGGACAGACCAGAATGGCCTGGGGGACAATCACATCTTTCTATGGAGCGAGCTGGAGAAGTCACAGCTGTTAGGTGCCCTTGTTCGGCTTCCTCCATCGAGATCTCAGAAATCCTGCAAACAGCGAGTACATTTAGATTATCACACCCATAAATTAAGCTCACGTAGCAAGCACCCAATCCTACAAAAGGAGTCTTCTCAGGTTTTTGTCAATAACCTCAAGCTTGTCCTATTGTTTTCAAGCTGCCTAAATTCCAGGGACTCACGTGCCACATCATAGTCCTGCATCTTTGCTTCCTCAAAGGCTGAGATTACACATCAGCAAAATATTCACATAAATCATAAGGAGTTTAGTAAATTAGATGTCTGATGTCCTGTTGAGAAGTTATTATAAAGATCTTTTTCCCCACATTTTAAAATGTGAGTGGCTTCAGGTAGACATGGCCAATTAATTAGACATTTATATTCCTTCCAACAGACAAACCAAGGTCATTCCCCATTAGAGTATCTCCCGTAGTCACTAGTGAAATTGCTTTTAATTTATAACTAGCCCGATTTCTTCCTTTTGAGTCTCTGAATGTCCTTTCAAGAACTTTAGAAAACCGTCTAGAAAATGACTGAACATAATCCAGTAATATTGATCTTACTGGAGAAAGGATAAAGAAACTTTCAAATCAGTGATTTTGTTAATTTTATTAAATAAGCCCTTCAACTAATTTAACTCACCTTTCCTATTGGTAGAAAGGTCCTTAAAATTGAAAAAGATACATTCCTAGTGAAAATGTTGATACCTTTTACATTCATTTGAAATTAGGCATTAAAAAATATATGCGGTCCATAAAACTCAGACTATTTCATGACTGACTAATGGGTAACATGAAATGTTCTGCAAATAAACTTTTAAATGAGAAAATGAATAGTTTTGCTTCACTAAAAGTCACCTCCAATAGCTTAAGGAGCTTGAATCATAAACTTTATAACAAGCATAGGTAGGTTTTATTGACACTGAATTATGGATGCGCACCCTGACTTCGCTAGAATGGAATCAGCCGGCGGAAGATCAGCCAGCCTTTATGAAACACATGTTCAATTAAAATTCAGGTTTCACTCTCCCCTCCTTAGAGTACACAGAGCAGTTTGATCTATAAACAAACCACTCCCCTCATGTAAGAAAGACTCTACCTTTATGTTCCCCTGGATTCTCTGTGGGAATGAGCAGGTCATCTGAGGTTTGTTTATGAGTCCTCTCTGTTGGCATCAGATGGTATTTTATAACATGAGGGCTTACTAGCATCATCTTCTTTTCTTTCCCACATGCATGCACACAACAGGCTAGTGAGTATTTAAAAAACTGAGTAAAATTTGAATTGTATGTCAACAACAGATATTACTGCAATGCACCTGGTTTTTCTCAGGGGCTCAAAGAGCAACTCTTTTGCTTGAATCAGGGATTTGGCCAAACTCAAGCTTCTATTTAAGTGAAGGCTGAAATGCAAAATTGTTACATCCTTCAAATGAATGTAAGAGAAGAAAAAAAGGCAATGTCAGCATTGACATTATATACAAAGTCTCAAACTACATGTAAAACTCTCAAACTCTCTGCTTCTGAGATTATTTTAAATTTGTAACTGAACAAAGATGCAGGATTATGTTCTAACTATCTTTGAGGGAAGATTCAAATATATTTTTCACTGTTGTCACAATTCCACTGTATTAGAAAATTAAGTGCTGATCCATTGCTTTATTTATATTCTTATTGTTGACAATGGCTTTAGTTTTTACTGAGTCTAGAACAAGTGATGTATGTATGTATGTATGTATGTATGTATGTATGTATGTATTTATTTATCCTTAAGCTTCACAAAATGATCTCTTAAACCAAAGAATTTTATTTAGGGAGGTCTGTGAATAATATGATAAGAGAAAGAGACTTACGGGGTCGGGGGTTCACCAGAATAAAGGTGGTGTTTCACCCCATAAAAAGGAATCAGTGTGAGGGAAGCAAAGAAAGTATAATGAAAAAATGCATGACAACATTATTTCTATCAGTTCCACTAACACAATGTTCTGTGTGCTACCCAACTCACTGCAGCATGGAAGAATTTGCAAAATAATTATTTCCATCCTCACAAAGTTACCCACTGCCTTCCATGACATACGAACACGGCTTGGCTTCTGCCACCTGATTTACAATTGATATTTTAAAATAATTAATGCTATTGCTGACAGTATATTTTTTGGCACATGCCTTTATTTTTTAATTATTTCACTTAAAATAATCTTAGAAGTGAGAAATATGAAAAGAACACCAAAGGGATACAGATTTGAAAATGAATTTTGATCCTGGATTTATTCTTTTACCCAAAGTCCCTACTTATGGTACAATCAGAAGAACAATATGGATCTTCTTCAACAAAGAAAAAAATCTTCTCCTATGTTTAGTATAATTTAAATATCTGAAATGTGGAATTTATATATTCATCGGTTTGCCAATAAAAGACTTCATAATTTTTTTATTTTGTTTTGTTTTTCTAAACTGATCTACTAATTTATTACATAAGACTGTTTTCAAACATCTATTGATTCCATATTCTTACAGGAACAGAGAAACTGACATGTCAGACAAATTGAGACTATGTGTACGAACTCAACTCACCTTTCTGCCTCCATGGTAGGAAACTTAGCTACATGTGAACAATTCCTCATTTTACCTCATTGGATAAATTGTCCCTTCCACTCTAGAAAATGATCATGTGTGCCCATGTTGAAATCTCCTGGCTTCTCCATTATTTATTTTCTCTTTATCCTATCATTTTTAATGTACATCTTGCTACAAACTCCTTTCCCTCACGGTTTGTAAACAAGTTTACTTCTCACTCAGATTAAACAATCATCCTTTGATCTTTGACACTGTCTCATTCCTCCCTTCTACATTTATCTTCCTGGAAAACAATAGTCTATGCCCATAATGTTAGGGCCACTGTGTCCCATTCATATAGCTCAAAACTTTGAGATTTGCACCAGGATTCTACAAAAATTGGTATTATGAATGGGACCGGTGTGATCCTAAGTGTCAGTCTCAAAAGCCTCATTTTAGCTGACCTCTTTGGGTTACGCGAAAACACTATACTCCTTTGTAGTATTCTCATCTTTTGGCTTCCATGACACCACATTTATTCTTACTATTCTTCTGTTCTCTATTTGGTGTGATTCCCAATCTTTTCACATTATGAGGCACAGTGAAAGGGACAATATTGTAGGGTACACTGGGATGAACACTTGAGAATGCTCACGGTTAGAAAAGACGAGACCGATTTGACCCTGCCTGGCTCCCCTGAAGGTTGAAGGGGGTCACTTTCTCAGCAATCTTTAATCTATTTATAGCACAACAGTTATCTATCTCTACCCTGCAGGGCTTTTTCTTCTGAATTTCTGACTGGTGTCTACAACTCACCAGATCAAAGGTCAACTTGACCCCCCCCCCTTAAACTTGCTTCTCATCCTATTTTGTTTTGGGGCGGAAACGGAATCATCTTCCACCAGGTGACCTGGAAGCCATCCTTGACTTGTCTTCTATCATCACACTCCCAAACCAAACACTTCTAAATCTTTCTTGTCGGTGTCTCATCAATCTTACCTATAGACGACTCTAAAATAAGAATTGAACTTTTATTCTATTACAGTTTACCTGCTTTGTCTCATGATATTTCCATAAGTTGCCTTGATAAGAATATAATGAATATCATACAGAATATCCAAGAAGTCTTCACGGGTCACTGTTCTACTGATTCGAGGATCATCACCGTAATATTTCCATTCTTTCTGTTAACAGGAAAAGAAACCACTTTGATGAAACTAAATGCAAAACCACTGGCATCCTTGCACCAAACTAATAAGCTTACCTCCGTCATTTCGATTTCATGCCGTGTCAGTTGGCCAATTAGAGGAGCAGCCATATGCCTGATGATAATTCTAGCATGCGTAGGGGTACCACCTCGAATGATAACTTGAGGATTATAGGTAGAGAAACCTGTCTCTTCCCGAGCCTCAAAATAGATTGCGTACTTGAGTTTGCCGCCGTAGGCCATCAACTGACAAAATAAAGTGAGGAGTGACGTGTCAGATAAAGCCCCAAATGGCGTGAGTCCAAAAGCATATTTTACTTTGTTCTCGTATGACTTTGAAGTTCTTGTCCTTACCTTCCGTCCTTCAAACTGTTCTGGAAGTTTCCAATAAAAAGGTTCCAGACGGAGTTCCTGTCTCACGAGGTCCATGTGTGCAACAATCTCTGGGTGTTGAAAAACGATGCCTTTGGTAGTGGTGTGCTGCAGGGCCTCGTCCACCAGGGGCAGAATGGTCTGCTCAGGCTTCAGAGTCACCTGTGTGGGTATCAAAACACAGCAGGGCACTCAGCTCACATCTTTTGGGCACCCCTTTAAATCTAAGTTAGGGACTGCGTGTCTCTCTGCAGCCCCATTCTTGTTCTGATGAGAAAGAAAACTTGTGCATTGTGAGCCACCAGGGCAGGGGATGAGTCTTTCTGCCTTTTTGCACAGTGAAAACTGCAACATCTGTGAAAATTGGTCTTTTGCACTAACAAAAAGTAGAACTTAAAAGTGGGAAGAGTTAGAGAAAAATGAAAGTAAGAATGAACATGCTGCCACCCTAAAAGGTGGCGGTTCTCTTAGGCTGGTTCAAGTGAACATGCAACAAGTTCTGGTTTTTGTGACGGCCTTAGCACGTGCCTGCCTTCATGCTCTGGTGCCCTCACTCTCCAGAAAGCAGCTGCTGCCCATCCCCCAAACATAATGCTTTGGGTACAACGTCTCCCTTTCTCACTGGGCATCTATTTCCTTATCAACAATAAATGAGCTATTTTTAGGAAGGAAAAAAAAAAAGGCATTTATCCCAACTGTCTAATGTCACATGGCCCCAGTTCTAAATGTGCACAGGGGAAAAGCTTACTTAAATGTTTCACCATTGCCTCCTCTCCCTCAGTACCTGGCTGAAGGACACCAGCAGGAACTGACATTATACCATTACATGGCTCAGTGGTTCCTTACTCACCCACGTACGGATCAGTCCTTTTGCTTCAGAGCACTGGGTAGTAGCCCCGAAGCAATAGCAGTTGCTGCAGCCTAGTGGGTTCTCGGCATCAAGTCCAAATTTGCCCGGCCGGCACCTATCACAGTGGACACCTTCTACGTTCACCTGAAGGAAGAGGAGAGAGTTCCTCAGGGTAGATGATGAAGTTATGAGAGAAATAAACTTGAGAATGAGTAATGCTTCTTCTTAATTAACCAAAAAGGAACACTGAGTATTAGACTCACATCTCAAATGGCATATGTAGTTAATTTCCTCGTCAGGATTTCAGAAGTCTAAAAAAGGCTTTATTTATACATAAATACATTGCAGAGGCTATTGTATATTGGTTTTAAAATCTAAGCAACACATTTCCTAATATCCGCTGTGAACAATATGAAAGAGTCATGAGAATTTCAAAAGCAAAACAGAAACATTGATTCCCAGACAGTGGTGTGATACAAAGTTGTAAAAAACAGGCAGGGTGTTAAAATAGAGGGTTTATAGAATTATCATTATGTAGCATATATAAGCACAAGGAATGCATATTAAATACAGTGTGTAATCATAGTATGTAATAATGCAGCACTGGACTTTGTGTTTTGTCTGGGGACTTCAATGACAAGGGCTGCCATTTTCTTAAATTCTGAAGACTATTTTAATAATCACTCCCTGGATTTCATTTTCCTATGTCCTCTGTCCCTCTTTGCATGGACTTTTTTCTTGAAAAGCTACCTCTGACACAGTCTTAACAGCATTTATCCTGGGATTGATTTTTCAGAAATATCTAAGGGGGGGGAAATCCCTCTTATCTTTTTTAATTGGCTGTTTTTCTACATCATTTAACAATATTAAGGAGAGCTGAATTTTGCATGTAGTCGCTGTTTGTTATGTCAGTGTTTATACGTGACAAAATTTTACTGAACTTCCACAGCAACAAATATATTTTTCAGTGTACAGTGATTGTGGATTAATTTGAAGAGAAATAGTTTTTTAAAAGCCTTATTATCTAGCTGTGATTTTCCTCTGATGATGCTTAAGAGAACTGTCATTTTTTTTCCTTCCCAAATTATTCCTGTTTAAGCAAAGCAAATATGTAAAGAGAAATTTAACTTTACCATTTAAAATATACCATCTCTATCAACTGGAAACAAAGTTGGATTTGGGTTGAAAACAAGTTCTTAAAGAGCAGTGCTTATCTGTATGCCAATGAACATATATGAATAAACATTGTGTCTGGCAAAGAATTTTTGTCTATTTGTTTAATGCAGTGAAGCATGAATGAAGTTAAAAGTGAGCAAAGGAAAGAGAACCCAGGGAAGGTTTTCCTTTAGTGTATTTCGGCAGCACACACCTTACAGGTGCACTGCCCAGTCTGATCAATACAGGAGCACTTTTTAGTCTCTGGGTCACAGGTCTTGTCGTCAGTCCCGGGCAGGAAGCACTCGCAGGGAGTACAGTGAGGGTAGTTCCAGTGACCTTGGTTGCACTCTGTACATTTCGCACCGGAGAATTTGGGGTGACAGCTGCATTGGCCTGTGTTTATATTACATTGGAAATCCAAGGATCCCACTGTGCTGCAGTTACAAGCCTATGGAGGAGATAAAAACAGCAACCATTAACACCATTTCATGGGAAATAGCTTAAAATTTTAATTCGAGTGTTTCTATGCTTCCATTAAACACATATTCATCATGTGTCTATTATATGCTTTGTACTGTGCTAGTTTAGTCGCTTGGGAAACATCAATGAACATAACATTAAAATTGCTTCCTGCATTTACTAAAATTGATGAGTGTCCAGAAACCATAATCCTATTGAATAAGAAAGAAATTATGTGTGGTTTTTTTCTGTCTTTTTGTGGTAAGGAGGAGGTAGGTATGGGTTTTTCTCAACCACTTTTTGTTATGAAGATTGAAATTTAGACAGAGTCATTTTACCTTATCATCTCATTTTTACAGAATTTACAGAAATTAAGCTGTAAAGAGACTTCTCTCACAATGTAACAGAGGGAGACAAGTATATATATATCAGGATAAAATAAGAATTATTTAATAGGAGAAGTACAGAAGTCTCTGAACATACAGGGAGCCCCAAACCAGATTTGGGGAAATCAAGAGAATTCAAGAAAGTGACATCTAGCCAGGATGTTGTTTTCCGGCATTTTGTTTTGCAGACAAGCCTGATTTGAGGTGTTTTGCTGTTAGCCTATTTTCTTCTTTCTAGGCATGCATAGGATTGTTCTCTTTATTTATGAAATTCAAAATTCTGCTATAATTTTTAAAAGTTTGAGTCTTTTTAATTAATTTACTGGAATCTGATGAGTTCTTTCAGTTTGAGAACAACTGTATTTTTTTACTTAAATTTATTTTTGATACTTACTTCTGTCCTAATTTACCCATTTGTTTCCTCAGGATCACTTACAATTTTTAAAGTACACCACTTTTGTCTGTCTGCCCAACCTGTGATATCCTAATGTTCTCTACAGCCATTTTCCTACTTGCCTCTCAGATTTGTTGACCATTTTACAGTGGTCAACAGTGAAAATTCCATTGTATGTATATGCCACCAATGCATTTTTAATTACACTATTGTATTTTTAGCTGATTTTCAATAATGTATTTCATCTCACTCAGTTTCAATCTGTGTCTTTTTGTCTTATATTCTTTTAAGTCTTTCTGTTCTTGATTTACAGAGCTCATCTCTCATTATAATTTAATGAAAATGCCAATTTAGGATTTTGGAATAAGTCATTTTCAGAGATCAGCAGTGGCAATGATCAATCTACTATCTCTGAGCTCCAAATTCCCTCCTTCCCTGTCCTGCTTTATGATACTGTGGTTGGACCCTGTAGACATTTCTCTGTGATTGGGTAGCAGAACGTTAGGCTTAGTCAACAGTGGGCCCTGGAGAAACCTAATAAGGCCACAGTGGTGGGAAGACACTTCTGTCCTGGGTTCAGTTTCTTCATGACTATTGTCATTATTACTATTTTACTCTTTAGTATGAGAGCCCAGAAGCCCAGAGGCCCAGAAAGAATCATAGCTGTGCCCTCGGGCCACTCTCTCCCCACAGGCAGCTTTCTGAGTAGCTTTGGTCTGTGCACATCTTTGGACCATGACAAGAAGCTCCAGTATGCTCATATCCTGAAACAATGGTGGACAGCATCTACAGACCAGCACTTGCCCACAATCTGTTTACCCTCACTCAGCCTAGAAATAGTAGCTACTCTTTTGTACCTGTTACTTCAGGTCCCCCTATATCCCTCCTTTATGCTTTTTCAGTAACTAACTACCTTTAACCAGTTAACAATTCTTTATATTCTACTTCCCCTGTTTAAATAACTTTTATGGTTTCTGTCGCCCAAGTAAGTCCCGACTTGGTACCCACGTGGGTATCTTTTTTGTGTCTGAGTTTTCTACCATGCAATGTTTGTAGGTCATCAATGACCTGATTCTTTTTGTTGCTGTTTTATTATCCTTCTCAGATCTATATCTGTATAGCTCTATAGCAGACTTGTATGCATTTCAACTTGCCAAATTCCCAGATCCAAGTCTGGCTGGATACCCCTTTGCATTTCTCGCACTTTCATTGCTCAGCTTAATTCTTATATCCACTACTACTGGGGATCTTCCTGCCTCTGCTCTAGCCAACAGTAGTTTACTTATGAGACTACTCTTTCTAGGATGTGATGTACAATCACCAGCTTCCATCTATCATCTCTTTCCTGTCCAAATGTTTGGTGAAATATCTTCCCAGATTCTGATGTTAAAATAATCACCAGGCCTTATTATTTTTGATGTCTTTATGATTAAGTATTTTTCTGTCCTCAATGCTATCCAGTTTAAAAAAAAATGCCACTGAAAGTTATTTTAAGGACAAAGATCCAAAATATAATTATTTATTATATTATAAACATGGACATAGTTTCCTAAGCATAGAATAACCCGTTGCTGTCACCCCAAGTAACTCATCCTTATAAGAACATCAGATGTAGAATGAGATTTCAAAATAAGAATAATTAGGGGTGCCTGGGTGGCTCAGTCAGTTAAGCATCCGACTCTTGATTTTGGCTCAGGTCATGATCTCAGAGGTTGTGGGATAGAGCCCCGTGTCAGGCTTCATGCTCAGTGTAGAGTTTGCTTGTCCCTCTCCCTCCCCCTGCTCTCTCTTTCTTTCTCTCTCTCTAAAGTAAATAAATAAAATTTTTAAAAAAGAATAATTCTTTCACTTAAATGATTTTTCCTTGACTCACTTAAATAAAATGGGCCATAACCAGAAACAGAAAATTATGATATATTACAGAAACTATATTCATGTAATACATTTTAAAATGTCTCATGAGACATTCTTATCCTTTTTTTTTTTAAAGATTTTATTTATTTGTTTGAGAGAGAGAGTGAGAGAGAGAGAGCACATGAGAGGGGGGAGGGTCAGAGGGAGAAGCAGACTCCCTGCTGAGCAGGGAGCCCGATGCGGGACTCAATCCAAGGACTCCAGGATCATGACCTGAGCCGAAGGCAGTCGCTTAACCAACTGAGCCACCCAGGCGCCCCGAGACATTCTTATCCTTTAACTAAAATATGAAGTGTCTGCTACCCAATTTATTATATAATACCAAAGCACTAATTCTTAAAGACTAGATGACAGTCCAAGTAGACATTGGGGCCTTTCCAAATCGGGAAGTTTATTTAGGAAGTTATAGTGGAGAATAAAAGGGACCATTAACCATATGTTTAGATAGCACTATAGCCAACATCAAACTTAAATCATAATTAGATGTAATGTTTGTTTAGCAATAGCGGATTTATGCACTATTCCCCTGCTAGTGAAAGGTGGCAGGCTTTGTATTCTACTTCAGTGAAAGCTCAAATGATGTGTGTGCTCACACTTCAGCACAGAGAAATTACCCATGGCACAAAGGAAGCTACAAATTTCAAATCACTGTTCATTTAGATTATAATCATCCAAATTTTTTCAATAGTAGAATACATGCTCATAAATATTTGTGAGGACTCTATGAATTTTTTTTTTGTAATTGTTCATAATGATGAAGTGTGTAGCTATTCAGAAATTCAGATTTTGAACAGTGGTTCAAAGTAATCAAAAATTTTCAATCAACTTCAATCAACATAATGTTTATTCAATGACCAGTAAAAATAATGGTATCAAACATAGAACTACTTTTTCTTTTTTAAGGAAACTTGGTCTATATTCCATTTTGATTTATATCCAGAGCAGACATCAGCTTCAATTTCAGGAGATTATTAGAGTTTGGCCACATCACAAGATTTTGTGGATAGAATGGAACCCTTTTAAGTTTCCTTGGGGTTTATTCAAGAGTCCAAGGGATGGGTAGATGCTTGGATTCAAAGTTGAAAATGTAAGAAGTCAGTCGTGGAAACTGATAGCACTGTTTATACTCAACAAAAAGCTTTGGAACTCTTGAGGAGTTTTTGTTTTATTTCCAAAAATGTATTTCAAACTTAATAGTGCCATTGGCACTAGAAAAATGAGTATCCTGTCTAGTTTTTATTTAATCATATGACTAATTGAAGTCATATATCTGAACTTCTTTGAACAATCACCAATACTCTTGTTTTCCTCCAGATTATGTATTCTGGGCCAGTGTATTCAAATGCTTTATCATATGTAAAGATGATTAGACCCTGCATGTGTGCTAAGTGAGCAGAAAAAATGGTTTACATCTCTATTTGGTACTACCGTGGAGTCAAACAGGCCACATTTGGCCACGATGTTCTAATATTCCTCAACCCAATGTGACTGGAATGACTCTCGTTAACATCAAAATGCCCTTATTTATTGCTCTTAATGGACACAGGTCAACCCTAATCCTATTCATCCGTCCTCTGTGTTGCATTTGATACTAAAGAATATTCCTTCCTTTTAAACAGAGTTTTATTTAAAGCACTTACATGGTTTATCTTCTCTCTTTTAAGCTGTTAAACTACAAAACCAAAAACTGAAAAATGAAAACTAAGAAACAATTATTTTCAGTGGATGTCAGGAAGCACAGGACTCTGATTTCTGAGAGAAGGAAGGCAAATGAAGCAGGGCATGAAGGAAGTTTCTAGGCTGCAACCCAAAAAGGGGGAGCCCTAATAAAGCTAGCACTATAGCTGGATTGAGAAACACAGAGTTTGGAGAAGCTGAGATACAATTTATGGGGCCAATAGAATATGTGTCTAAAAAACGAGAAAGTCACACACAGAGAGTATTCCAGAGATCTGCAGAAGGGTCTGCTTGAATGTTTGGCTGAGTACTGATCTGTGTATGCATGGGGTAAAATTCTATGTGGCTGAGGGAAAAAAAAAACAACATTGGAAAGCCATAGGCTGAAAAAATCCCTAGAGCTCACAGAAAGCTTGAAATAATTCATATTCCCAACAGCCAGAGTAGAAAGACACAGTAATGCACTAGGGTAGTGTTCTCAATGCACTTAGCCCCTTAGTAGTAGAGCTAAATGACCCCTGGATTAAGCCTGCTCTAGACTCTCCCTAAAACAAAACAAAACAAAACAAAACTAACCAAAAACTTAAAAGCAAGACTTAAAAGGATCCAAGTGAGTAA